TATGAGCGTGCGTCCGTACGTGAGTTCGTCGCGTACAACAGTTGGGCACAAATCTTAACGCGCTCGACGTAACGGTCACGATATTCGGGACGTTGGGGGGCGGGGGGATTGTCAAAGCGAGTTGGGATGTCGAGCTGGGGGTCCAAAGGTCAAAGGTCAAGGGTGTAAAGAGGGGGAACATTCGCCCTCCTTAACATAGGTATAGGGAGGAATGGCAGAATTGCGGCACAAATCTAAACGGCTCGATATAGGCTCCATGATAGTCCGTGTATAGCAATCATGGTAGGAAAAGCCGATCACTGTGTTTGAAATAGGAGGATCCAGCATCAAAGAGTCAATGGGGTCACAGGGCAGATTTTACCACATTTTCTGAAGGACAGTGGTCTGACGGAGCGATGAAAAACTTTTTCTTGTTTCAGCGATGACCTAGCAAGTTTTGAGCTCATCTGACAAGTGCAGTGCAGCTTGTGTAGAATCGGCTTGATCGTCCTCCGTTGGCCGTTCGTCCGGTCCGTCCGGGTCGTCCGGTCCGGTCCGGTCGTTGCCGCGCGGTCACAGTTGGGGCACGAAGATGCTTCTAACCCGTCGAACGTACCGGTCACGATATATCGGGTCGTTGGGGGGGGATGCGTCAAAAAGCGAGTGGGATGTCGAAGCTGGGGGTCATAAGGTCAAAAGGTCAAGAGGTGTACAAAGAATGGGGAACATTCACTCTTAACTTAAGGTATAGGGAGGGAAATGCAGAATTGCGGCAGTCAAATCTAAACGCTCGACCTAGGCTAGTGATAGTCGGTGTATAGCTATCATGGTAGGAAAAAAGCCATCACTGTGCGCCGAATTGGGGTGCACAGGTCAAAGGTCATGGGCACAGGCAGATTTTAGACATTTTCTGAAGCGACATGGTCTGACGGAGGGACGATTGAGAAACACTTTTGTTTGCAGGCGGTGACAGAACTAAAAGGCGCGCGAGTGAGGACTTTACTCGAGAAAGTACGTATAGAGAGGTGACTCGTCCAAGTCTACTTGTGCTGACAATAAGCGAAGAGTAAGTGTCGATAACCTTTTGAGCAGCCTGCAGAGGAGGGTAAACATGGATTTTGTTGACTCGTTAACAAAGGAGTGAACTGCTTTTGCTAATTAGAGCGGCCTCCACTCGAGCCCTACCAGTCGCCGTCGCGCCGCCACGATCTCTGAGGCACGAGGTCAGCGCGCGTCCGCCCCTTTTTCCGCGCACCCTACCGCCCACCCTCCATCTGCGATAGTGGGGTGTCCTAACAATGATTGTGTACCGCAACTGCGTGTCTTGTCATATCTGCGCCTAATGCAAATGTGGTACTGACGGCACCGACTGAAATTTTACGGTTAATAATGCGGTAGCAACAGACCGTGCAGATGAGCCCAGACCCTACTGCGGGCTCTTGCTTTTATGGCTTTCATTAGATAAAGGACGCAATGAAAATGTACTTTCTGCTGATCATGTGAAGAGTAAGTGTTGGATAACCTTTTGACCGAGCCTGCAAATGAGGAGGGTTAAACAATGGATTTGGTTTACTGTTAGAAGAATTTTGACTGCCCCGTTTGCTAAGTAGAATGTTATACTATGGCTGGATGTATGGAGGCTACAATGTCAGCAGTAAAAATTTCACAAAAGGCTAAAAATTTGTTGAAAGAAGGTTATGCTCCTTAAATGCGTATAAGTGTTTCATGGCATTCTGTACTGTCCAGTGAGTGTTACAATGTAACTTATGCGCACTCGCCAGATGCGCACTGGCCATGCATGTGGTGGGTGATAGTACGGTGTAGTTTTTGCCTGCATTAATTAGTTACAGTGGCACTCTCTAGTTTCAGTCCTGTAGCATTGCGTAGGTAAATGGATGATTGCTTACCTATTCTGTCTTTGGCAATTAGTTGTTGCTATACTAACGTTACGATGGGAGGCTTTCATCTTTAAAATCTAAGAGCAGCTGCAATACGTACGCGGGGCCATCCTTCGTGCAACTTTGCATAAGCGATCCCAACGAAACATTCTCTTCATGAGAAGGTCCTAATACCATCAGTGTTCGAAAGTAAGGGCTATCCGTTTGTCCGTACTTGTCGCAATTTCCAGGCGGAGGCAAAAGTAGAAATGCTGTCAGGTAGCTTGTCGCACGCGGGACAAGCAGCTTTTTAGACGGCAATTTTTCGATAATTTTCGTACCATCGCTGGCCGGCGTGCTGGAAACCCGCGAGTTTTAACCATAGTAAAGAACATGGGCTTGCCGGAGTGCCACCGCGAATTATAACATATAGTATAACATTTATGTGAAGTTATATAAAACGTTACCGCCTTGGCTAGCTCGCACGAAACGGGTCTTGCTAGGGGTTAGACTTAGAAGACCATGGCAAGACAATCAGTCTGAGTAGACAATCGAGACATCTTGTCATAGAGCAATCAGTTGCACAGCCGTGCGTCGCGGCAGCGCTACCGCGGCCTCGAGAAAGAGAGAAATCGAGAGAGAGGGAGAGAGAGAGAGCGAGGGGAAGAGAGTGAGAGAGAGAGAGAGAGAGCGCGGAAGAAGAGAGGAAAGAGAGAGAGAGAGAGAGAGAGAGTGTGAGAGAGAGAAGAAGAGACAGGAGGAGAAGAGAGAGAGAGTGAATAGAGTGAGAAGGAGAGAGAGAGAGCGAGAGAGAGAGAAGAGAGAGGACAGAGAGAAAGAGAAGCGAGAGAGCGCGATCATAGACATAAGAAAGTGAGAGACATACGAGGGAAGGAAGTGAGTGTGAGGGCGAGCGCGACGAGAGAGAGGGAGAGAGAGAGCCGTGAAGGGAAGAGAGAGAGAGAGAGAGCGAGAGAAGAGAGAGAGAGAGAGAGAGAGAGAGTGTGTGTGATCGAAGCGAGAGAGAGAGCTGTGATCGAGCGAGGAGAGAGACGAGAGCGCGAGGAAGGATGAGAGGGCAAGACGAGAGAGCGAAAGAGAAAGAATGAGAGAGACAACGAGGGAGAGCGAACGGCGGCGATGGAGGGTGCTCTTATGATTCGCTTTGCAGTTAGTTTACATGCAGAACACCTGTCGCAGGTGAGCGCTGGGGTCGCTGCTGTCGTGCACTTGTTCTATATTGATATACAATAACTTTGTTTTATTAGATCTTTATGAGTTAGGAGATTTTTTCCAGCAGAATAGGATATGATAAATGACAATTAAAGGTAAAAGAGCTGTAGGGCTTGTCACAGAAATAGTGTGGCGAACGTTGCCTTGTTTTTGTAATCAGCGAACGCTCACCCCGATGCCCAATTTGAAAAATAGTGTTCAGGTTGTTAAAAGTATTCAATTCTGGTAATAATCGTTTAGAAGGTGCCTCACCGCATCGCTGTCCATTACGTATATGATATGTGCGCCTGTGCATGCATGTGCCCAATACGCAGTTACACAATTTGCTCCAACGTATATGTGGCCAGTCAGTGTTCTTATACGGTTTTTTTTTGTAGGCTGCCGTTGCTCCAATATCTCTGGCCAATAAAGTATGACCGAGTGTTGAGTGGCGGGACACAAGAGGCCCTCGAGAATGTCGTCGACAATGTCAAGCGCGATGTTTCGACGTGGTCTGGCAATGCTTTACCAGCCTTCACGACGCATGAGGGCAGCAATGTCACAGTTTACAGAAAGGCTGCAATCGTCTCCTATCTACGGCGACGAGCAGGTATACCATTCAAGGAGAAATGTCAGCAGCAGTGTGTAGAATATGCGCTGTGTTACAACGTACGTTGTGTGATGCGCAGTGTCTGTGCGTGGTATTCATTGAATCGGCATTATTAGGTGGATTATAAAGTGGCAGATTCAATGAACGCTAAACCTGGAACGATCTGCATGCCGGGAATGCCCGCGCGAAGCGCTTCAAAGCGGCCGGCTCGCATCGGCGCAACTTTAGCAAGTTTCGCTGGGGGCTTCTACCACAACGCCACAGTACTGCCCATTCAGCACCGATCCCCTGCTCGCGTTGCCTTTCCTAGGTTAACGGTTTATAAGGCTTTTCGCTGAGATCTAGGGCCAGTTCTGCCCATTGCCACGAAGGGATCCTCGCACTACCGCAGTTATGTAGAAGACGGGGTGTCTGAGAACTGCTGCCACCTCTTCGTAAGGCTACTTAGGCGCGCTTTCTTTTCTAGTAATAAGCGCGGAGCGGAGTCTGTTTTGGTTGACGAGTTGTAGACAATATAATAAGCGGCTCATAATAAAGCCCCCTTTACGCGTGTGACGTGGGGGGAGTTTAGCAGGATAAGGCGAATAATATACGGGAATTCGTCTTCGGATATCGAGAGCTCCAGTAATTGTCCAGCGTTAGTTTCATTGTCAACTGTTAAGTCTGCTATTGTTATCTGGCTGCATGACATAGTTGAAGCATCGCTCATGCAAACTAAAGATTTCAACATGGTGGGCAGAATGGCCTAAACTGTGAACGCAGTGGGAAGCCTTGAACCCTGGGATACCTAATCACCTCGTTAGTTTCGCACGATCTCGCACCGCCGTGGTTGGCCCATGTCTTCCGGCACGCACGCACACCACTACGCACATACACACACGCACACACACATGCACGCACGCACGCACGCACGCATACACACACGCACGCACACATTGACACGCACGCTGACGCACGCACGCACGCATAGTCACAGCACGGCCGTGGCCGATGGTGTTGGAAAACGTAAGACGGGAGATAATTCACGAGTCAGGAAGGAAGCGTGGCCTCCAAGTCGTTCATTAACCACGTTGTTACGCGTATCGCAGCACTAGCGACATCGCAAGAATAAATGGAAGATTACGAAGATTACGAAGATTAAGAAGAAGATGATGATGATAATGATGATGATAATGATGATGATGATGATAAAGAAGAAGAAGAAGAAGCAGAAGAAGAAGAAGGAGAAGAAGAAGAAGAAGAAGGAGAAAAAGAAGGAAAGGGCTAAAGAGGAAGACCAAGGGGCTGAGATTTTGTATTTTGATATTGCAGTTTTGTTTTTATTAGTCACTATGGGTTAATATATATTATCGATCTAAGTTTGCCTATTTATGTCGATATCGATGTATAGATTCAATCACTTAGGGTCGTGACGACTTCGCCTTGAAGTCTAGGTAAGCCGCTAGGAAGGCTAAGCATGCACGTAGTCCATGAATCACTTCGTCAACTCTGTATCGTACACGTCCGAGCTATAGAATCAGAGGTGTTTCATCAGGTGACGATGCTGCCGACTGCGTCAACGATGAACGACTCGTCTAAAAATACGAGGCAGTGCCGCCCACGCATTCGGTTTTTACAAATTGCGTTATAGTGTGAAAACTTCAATTCAACATGGAAATCGAAAATGAAATTGTAAAAATATAAAATTTTATTGAGAACCCGTAATTTTGATTAAGGTATGGTTCGTTTAAAAGTAGAAATTTATGTTTTGTTCAAAATATGACAAAAGTTTAGCAATTTAAATACAAAAAGATATAAGCTACAAGCATTGCAGAGTACGGAACACATTACAGCATTCGAAGCTAACTTCGTAAATACGTAGACTAGACCAGCGCTTCTCAACTGGTGGGCCGCGGCCCACTGGTGGGCCGCGAAGCTCTCTCCGGTGGGCCGCGAACTCGACCAGAAAAAAAAATTAAAAAAAGAGAACTTTCTACGGACAGTACTCTGAAGCTTCAGCTTGCACAGAAAGACCTTCCTTCATTCTGGATACTTGCAAGCAATGAATACCCTTCACTGTCAAAGCGTGCCATCAAATTTCTGTTACCATTCACCACAACCTATCTTTGTGAAATTGATTACATTTTGGTGGTGATCCGGATCCAATTAATTAATTAAATTTTCAGGATAGGTCAGAAATGGGGTAACATTACATTTTGGTGGTGATCCGGATCCAATTAATTAATTAACTAATGAATTAATTAATAAAATTTTCAGGATAGGTCAGAAATGGGGTAACTTAAAATTTATTACATTTTGGTGGTCATCCCGATCCAATTAATTAATGTTTTCACTTAATTAATTAATTAATTAATAAAAATTTTAACAGTGAAAGAATTCAGCTGCCTTGGGGGAGGTCTGTGTGCTCTCCTAGTGCTCTAGTTTATGATGTTATCAGGTGTGTATAATAATACACTCCTGATGTTATGACTTCCTAACGGGATACGTTGTGGGCGCCTCGCGCCCTGTGCGCATGCGCGCACCGGATACAACAAGAGGCTGTTCTTTTGTCGGTAGCAGAGATCTAGCTGCTCCGTCAAACACGAAAATAAACGCGCTGCCTAGGGAACGTGACAAACCATACTTAGCATAAATTCCCGGCAGTCGTACAAGAAAGAAGAAACGCATATAGCATTTATTCTGCGAGAGGCTTACGTATGTCCTCGCACTAACAAAGCCTCAGCTGCTACAAAGAGGGAATTTAAGCTCGTGAATCGCACCCGCACAGGCTCTCGGCTACCTTGACGCGCGATAGCGTAAAATGCTTTCGCGACACGGTAAATGTAAGCAGGTACGCCAAATATAGATGCTGCATTCAGGGTAAAATGCTATACCGTACGGTGCGCATTCGTTATGCGCAAGTAATGCGGCAGTTTAACATTGCATTTGTTAGTTACTTGCATATTGGCGTTATGTGATGGTTTATGGTATTCTCTGTGTGTGCGTGCGTACGTGTTTGTGTGTGCGTGCGTACGTGTTTGTGTGTGCGTGCGTACGTGTTTGTGTGTGCGTGCGTACGTGTTTGTGTGTGCGTGCGTACGTGTTTGTGTGTGCGTGCGTACGTGTTTGTGTGTGCGTGCGTAATCAACAGTCTAAGTGGGCCACGCGTTTAAAAAGGTTGAGAAGCACTGGACTAGACTATACTAGCCTTCGACTGCACAGCTGTTTTCGCGTAGCCTGCTCTAATGTTTACTTTATGAAATACTTTAATGCAATAACATTTTCTCAGCGCCACAACCAGCGTCAATAGCGAGATGAGTTATTTACTCGTTTGTGAATGCAGGGATGTGGCCATGTTTTCTCTTCCCCTCGTGCCCTGAACCAATACCAACAAGCGAGTGTAATAACATGAATCAGTCATTCACGAGCGATTAAAACCTTCATTTTACTTATTGCTTCCCAAATTTAGTAGGAGCTGAGAAATTGCCTGTCGGCGCACTAAAATGAGTGTTTCTGCGTCCTCCACCACCCCTGTTGGCCACGGTTCCTGGATCCGGCAGTGCATTAAGGTATTACAGTGGGAAATTATTTTCCGTTGGCGACCACACTACGCTAAAAATTCCCACAAGGCCGGAGTTACTTTGTGAAATTGCAATGCCACCCGCCGATGTCGCATTGCAATGCGCGACATATATTTCGTCAACTCGAATATTCTTTCAAAAAATCATTTCGTAAAAACTATTTTCGCGAAACGCACAAAACTGGTAGTATACCACGCTTAACTGAGATATCATGTAGGCTTCGCGTATGAGGTTTTTGCTCGACGAATTCACACGAAAAATAACCACTCCAGCGGATAGCGGCAAAAATGTCTCATTTCCGATAATAACTTGAAATCCCCTACAGTCTCGTTCGCCCGTGAGATAAAAAAAACAAAAACGTTTGTACACATCCGCCAAAGATCAAATTACTTCACTGCCGACCACGCCAACGCAACGGCGATTAGCTTATTTGGGAGTGTGATACATTAACCACCAGGCGCCGTCCATTTACTTTCAATTGCAAAGTTAATGATCTCAAACAATCTAAAATGATCTCTCTTGAGGATCGCAACCGTTCTCATATTTTCCATTTTCTCATAATTGTTTAAACATAATCGAAACGCGACGGAGTACTAGTTTTGACAAAAGTTAAAAAAAGTCAAGTCGTGTGAAAAAAGTAGTTCGGCTAAGTTGAGGGTCAAGTCGCAGGTCTGGTATAATTACTTTGCGCGTTTATCAAGCTATGCTTACAGCCGCAATAGATTGATAAACGCCCAGTGTGTGGAATTGGTATAATTTTGCACAGATTTCGGGGGAGGCAACTGTAAAAGGCTAGGTCTGTGATGTAAGAACATTTATGTAAGTGCACATTTATGTATTTTGTCCTCTATATCAGAATCTGCTCGTACAACTAGTCGCATCGTGTTACATGCTACTGTGCTGGGTAGTGATATATTGATTTTGTTCTACTGCACAGCGCACACACATACCTAAATATTTATATACACACATACTTACATGTTTGGTCTCTAACACGAACTCCCTTTATTAATGTTGAAATTTCGATTCATGTTTAAATTAGTGTGAGAAAGCTTACATGTATGCCTAGTTGGCGTTATCGAACCCATGCATCCATTAAAAGTGGCACTAAATTCTCTAATTGACATGTGTTTGCTTGTACGTTTGCTCTTTCCAAGTTTTTGCGTCGAGTGCCAACTAAATAAAGTATGCGCGTTCTCACGGGGCCCGGCAAGCCAAACGTTAGTTTGGACTTTTGGTACATTTAAATTTTTTAACGTTTCAAGATGGCATGATATATAGCATTGTGCGGTGCTGGAAGGTGCTGCCGCGGGTGGCGGGTTATAAGTAGACAGAAGCCAGCTGATCACGTAACTCGGCGAGGTGTGAGCTGAGGTGAACATCTGGCGCATAGAACCTTTCAGAAGTTTTACCTTTAAATACTGTATAGTGTAAATTAGCGTATAATTTAGTTCGTGAATTGTGTATATCTGATATATATATATAGTCCATAAAGCTGTGGACACGCTAGGCGATTTTTCAGGCGATTGAGTCGCCCGACTTAATCGCCTGAAAAATTGCCTAGTGTGTCCACAGCTTAACCTACGTATAGTCTTTCTTCAATACTCGAGAGGAAAGGTTGTAACCTTTGTTTGACCTGTAAATTTGTAGTAGAGGTCGCGCAACACACGCTAGGTTCCGTATTAATCTCAGAATTCACTCTATGAGTTTGGTTTCTGGTAAATTTTGCTTAACATGTTAGTTTGTGGTACGTAGTTTATGTTGTGTTATGTTATGTTATGTTATGTTATGTTATGTTATGTTAAGAGGTTGGGATTCGCTAAACGGCATATAGTGCCAATAACTAGTGTTGCTATGACTCGCTAATCGCGTCGTTTATTCGATTAATTGGATATGTTCTAGGAGGTAAGAGAAAACTAAAAGAACATAGGAACTTGGAAAGTTCAACGTGTTTTCAACATTCCAAATTGGCTACCCGCTTGCCATACCTCTACTCTTCCCTTAATCCTAACCTTATGCCCAACCTCAACCTAATCGCTCATTTCTTTAGTTGCGTAAAAGTTCCCATGAATTAAAATTGTAGGCCGTAGGTACCTAGACCGATACTCATGGTAGACTAGTTTACATGGTAACCGTAGTTCCATGTCAGACTAGATGCTGTGTTGTTGATATAGCACCATACTGAATTTCTAGCACCGTAAAAAACTTACGGTCAACTGTTTTACCTGTCATTTTACGAGTTATGAGAGGCGATAAAATAATATTTTCACAGCACATAGCACGATGCATTTTATAAGTGTTATTTTGTATTGAAAGCCGTATATCTGCCATAACATACCTGTTTAAATAGCGCTGAAATTTTTACCAACCAGGGCCTAATTCAACGTTGTGATTAAAATCAAATTTTAAATTCCATCCAATCAGAGCCGGCCAAGAAAATTCAATCGCATTTGAAACCGCATGTTAATCGCACGTAAAATCAATTTGATTGATTGCTCACATATTAGTACACCGTCACCGCAAACCTAATGTAGAACCACACAGATGCGACTGACCGTGTTTTCAGCCTCCTATATGCGCACACACGACTGGTGTACGTATATAGGTCTTTACCCGGACGGTTTCAGCTAAAGCTGTTGATATAAAGCCCCGAGTGTAATTAGATAATGTTCTATATCCGTTAGAAAAGCTTCTGTTTACGTCGATAATTACGAGCTAGTACGTCGCGTCTCGCGCCTTACACGCCCGCGCGCACACCAAACATCGTCGTGGGATCGTAACCGGCGGAAGAAACACTAGGGATTGACCTATAAACGGACAGCACCAACACTTAACGGCTTATTATCTGGCCCCGGCGCTGATGATGTGAATGCGAGACCTTTTAACGCCTCTAGCGAGCTGATAGTCTTGCGCTGGTGAGCTGAAACGATTTGTGTGTACACGGATATCGAGGATATTTGCGTATATATCTAGTAAGTTGCGACGTTAGTGAAGCTGCGTGTGAGACAGCTAGCTGCAAGAAGGCGCCATCTCGCTATGCACGTATATATATATATCAAGAGTACATAATAGGAGATTATAATAATAATAGGAATAAAAATCTCCTATTATGTACTCTTGA